TGCTGAGATTGTATAATGCTCGAAAGTTAAGTTTCTTAGTTTTCACAAATGAGAGTTCGTAGAGAGAGAGAGGGAGAGAGAGAGAGAGAGTTAAAGACAGTATCTAACATAAGCAATAATTAATTTAGCTATCATATGGATTAATAATAATTAATAATTTATTTTACATAATATTTTAAGCTTTTTATCAAATAAGAGTTATTATCAATAAGAAAATAAAGTATGTTTGAGCTTGGACGGCTGTTTTTAAGTCGCTTTTTTAAGCTAGTTTTTCGAGTAAATTCTTGCTACACCTTGTTATATTAATTAATGAAGGATAAAGGGTATACTAGATTTTATTTAGTTTATCATTATTACGAATCACAACATATATTTTTCTTTAAAGTCGTTAATATAGGCAATTACATGATACAGTTCAGCGATTTTGATAATCACACAGAGCATGATTAAACTCAAAAATGCACTTTGTTAAACATCTTTTCTCTTCTATAGACATTCCAGCACCATCAAAGTCTTATCTATCTAATGTTCATTGAATGATGTTCTCTGGCTTATTAGCATAGATACATTAATTTCTGCTTGAAATTCAAAATTATGTCATTATCCAAATATTACGTATACGCCACCAATGCACATAAAGACATTTTAATTGTCTGCTTTATGCGTGTCCCACTCATTTTGCATTCTCCCCACTTTGTCCCACTGTGGCAACGCAAATTGGCGCAGGCAAAATGTCGACTGCCGCGTAATTGAAAAATGCCATTAATTTATAACTAATGCGCATCAAGCGCAGACATAATTATGGCCGATTTGACTTTTGCCTTATATACATATATGAAGTGAATTTTATTTCAACAGACTATAAATATTGGGGAGCACAATGAAGTTATGATAATCAGTGCTGAAAATATGCAGATGCCCTCTGTCAGTTGCAATTATATAACAATTGTTAACTAGATTAGTTGCCATATTTAATTTTAAACTCAAGAAATTCACAATTTCGGTCGTAAAACAAATTAAATTTATTGTAGGCTAGAGCTGCGAGTCATTCATTTACATTTTATTATACTTAGCCAGGCATGCACATTGGCCACGGGTCGTGTTATGGCCCGAGTGCGAGCTTCATACCACAGGTAACAACATGGTTACAACTCTTGCTAACAATGGTCACTCAATTGGCCCAAGCGGGCAAAGAAGAAGCGTCAGCACTGAAGCGTAGCCAACTAAAAGTGCGACAGCGACAACAATGACACCTCAACATCGGTGGTAGCCGCAACCGAAGCTCAAGCTAAGGCTGTGGCTAAGGCTGAGGCGACGACAATGGCGCCGTTTGCAACACATTCGCACTCATGTTGCAAGCGTTGGCGTGCGTCTTCATTGGCTGCGTCAACTGCGCAATGCAAGCCACCAACCTCATTGTCAAACTCGTCTGTCCAAACAAGCAGAAATTGGGTGACTGACTCCCCAAACTAAACCAAGTCAAAGTCAGCATTACTCTTAACAAAATAAACCGCGAGCTACTTACAATAAAATATGTAACTTCATTGCCTTTTGCAAGTTGTAGATTATAATTACCTACCGTGCTACCGCCCTTTGAAATAAATGCAGATGGGATGAGGGAGTAAGCGTGAGGGAGTTTAGCCGTGCAAGGTAAAACGATTAGCTAGGTATTTAGCAGGTCAAGCGGCTTAAATATCTCAACGCCATTGGGACAAAGTAGCAAGCAATTGGGGTCAAGAACAAGAGGCAAATTCAATTGAAAATATTGTGATTTACAATTGAGAATGGGAGTCCATTTGGGAATAAATTTACGCGAAACTTACACAAGTACAGGTTAACATGCTATTTTAACACATTTCAGAAATAATAATAATAGTTAATTGAAAGGCAGAATGCTATATGGGAAGTAGGTGGGTTAAGACAACTGGTTTAGAAATTTTGAATATAATTTTATATTTTTAGGATATATAGGGCATTGAATAATAATTATTAGCAATTACTGATTAAAAGAAAAATTAATACAAAATTGGAAAAAAACAAAATCTTTTCGAAGTAATTTACGGCGTCTTGTGAGAGAAAAATGTAACCAACAATCCTGTTTGTATGACATACTATAAGTGTGTATTAAGGCCGACATTATACCTTCAAAAGTTCTCCCCTCATTCAGCAACTTCGTTCCACACTCGCAAGCTCGCACATGCCACACATTTGTAAAAACTGCACGCTACAGTTGTCCAACAAAATATCTCAATTTGTGCTTGCAGTACCCACTAATATGTACGTGTATGTAGTATATACCTTTGCGTGCAAGTCGTTACTTGCTGCTATTTATTGTAAGTTAATTGCTAACATTTGGAAAAAATAAAAACAAATAGCCAAGAACAATGCGGCAAAACGCACATGTGACATACCTACTTACCTAATAAATGTTAAGAGAAAAATAAAAACACAAAAAAAAAAACCCACTGCCAAGCTATAGTAGTAAATGCAAAACCTTCGGAAAATGCCGACAATCGTTAGTTGATTTTCCCAGCGCCTCAAAAACTAAAACACGAAGCGGCAGTACCAGCAGCAGCAGCAGCAACAACAACAACAGCAGCAAAACTGAAACGCAGTATGAATATAAAGTTATCAAGTCTGCGTAAATACTTTAGCGGCGCAAACATGCAAATTGACTTAATCTAGTATTTAGTTTTATTTTTTGCTGGGGACAAACCGCAGTCAGAGTTGCCGCCGACATCGTCACAGCATTGGTAGCAACAACAACAGCATCAAAAGCAATAGCAACAAAAAGAAGACAATTGTATGCAAGTGCCGAAGGTTGTTCGCTTTTTTAGACGAATATGCAAAGATTACTTTTTGCTGCCGCAACTGCCACCGCATATGGTTTAGTTTAATTAGAGTCTTTAGTACGCCCCTCTTTTTTAATTATGTGAAAAAAAATCAACTTGCGTATTGCTGGATGTGTGTAGATGTGTGTGTGTGTGTGTGTGGGCATAACTCTCATTGTGCATGCAAAACCTTTGACCAGTCGGGTTGAAACCGATTAGCGCACTTTTTTATGAAGCTGCACAAAAAAAAAAAAACAAGACTACTTTAAATATATACATAAATACATATTGTAGTAATAGTTTGCGGTTTGTCATTTTTTCCTCTTAACTTAATAAGTTTGTCAGTTTTTTGTGCGCCAACCACAATCGGCACGTTCTCGCACCAAAGTGCTTGGTTCAAGGATGTGCCAAACACTTTGGCTACGAGGGGTTTCCAATTGTCTCAGTTTTCACTGGCTCATAGATTATGATAATTTTGAAGTTATCGTGCGTTTAATTTGTTGTTTATTGTGGAGCGAACAAAATAGAATGCTGTACATAACTAGCACTAAAATTAAATGATCTTTTACAGTGGGAATTGCTTAAAATAAACGGCAAACATGTTAGTTAGTGCGTAGGAAACAAATCGACTCTGCTGTACTACTAATTTTTTCCATTAGAACATAGTGGCGGATTTCAAGACCTATCCCAGCATGATTTACTGTTAAGATTTTTAGTTTTGGTTTCATTGGGTAATAGGAAAATCAGGAATTGTGAACAATTACTTTTTTGCTCTTTTAAAAAGGAAAGGAAATCAAATAAACTTCGGATTTAACAAAAATTCTAAATAAGAAAATGATAATTCGCGCCAACATCGGAATATCCTCTGGGCGAGCAGTTAAATCTCTTTAATGATTATTTCAAAGTTATATATTTCTTAAATTAAAAAATGATTAACAATCTTAGCTTTCTTTTCCGGTCGAATTTTGTAAATTTAAAATTTAAAACTTCCGTTACTTTTACAGAATGTCTGCGCTGTTAGAGTTAATAATATCTCCTTGGATTAGTTCTTAACTAATTTCCACCGTTGATATTTAATTGCGGTAGTTATGATTTTATTACCATTAGATGACGCCATTTTTGCTTTCATTTTCCTTTCAGATGCCGTAGGCGTCTGCATACAAAGCAGCGCTGAACTTTGTTTGGCGCGCTTGACCTTCTGCAGTACCGTCGAGATCGAGAACATGTAAAAAATTGCTCGTTTTTTATACCGTTTAAACACTAGTTTTTGTGTTTTGTCGTTGAAGTAGAGCACTGAGAATTTCGCATGTGCCACATAGTTAGGGCTTTTTGTCTTTTGTACTGTGATCTGTGCTCTGTTGGCTAGCCGTGCCTATAATCATAATTTGTCGGCTGTAACTTGACCTGATTTTGGCAAACTGCCATTTTATCACAAGATTTTTTAATGTCAAGCGACAATGTGATTTGGCCGAATTAAGTTGTTACACAAATTGGTGTTCGCTGCCAACTATTTGTCATAGTCATCGTTATTCGGATGCTGGGCAAATCAGAAATGCATTAATTCAATACTGTGCAAAAGTTCGTTGCCTAAGTCGTTCGTTTGATGATTGATCAAATTCAATTCATTCTCAATGCGATGCAGGCGCTGAATTATCAACGCATGCGGCTCAACTTTGAACTGTCAGGCTGTCTCAGCTGATGACGTCATACACACATACAAACACACACATGCACACACATTGCGCTGAAATCTGTCGCTAATTTGCACTACTTACTGCCGCCACTATCATTGAGCTGCGCTTGTTTAGCAACCAACCATGTGCGCCGCATCAATGCTGCAATTTCATTCACATGATTATTACTTTTTTTCTCTATTTTTGTATTTTTTGTTTGCCCCCACATGGCTGTATTCACCACTGCTGCCGTGGTGAGTGGAGGCAGCAGCGGCGTATTTGGAAAAGCCGCCACAGTTGAGTGAGTGCGAAATCAAAAGTCTTGAAGCCAAAGTTAGCGGCTAGGCCAAGCCGTCTAGCCGCCAACGCTGTGAGCGCTGCTTGCGTCGCAGTCGACTACGCAGTCGGCGCACAATTCGCGCGTATTTAATGGAAACTTGCTTTTAGAATCGCCACAGTATTCCGGGCAACTTTGTGGCGTTTGTATCTAGTGCCGTTGCAATACTTCAAGTAATATTTTAGTTTAAAATTTAAAAAAATTTTTAAGTTATTTTAAATTTACAGTGCAAATGTGTGCAAATTATTAACAATTTCTGCATTTCTGTGTTTATTTTTAGAAAATATCAAAAGAAATAATATTTAATTATACAAAATACAATCCGACATATTCGTATAAAATGGCAAATTTTCTGTGCTTTGTAATCCTTGCTGTGGCTTTGTGTGCAAGTGTGGCGGTTGCGCGACCAGGATATGCTGTGGATTATTATGTGAGTTGGTCAACGCAATGAAAAAGCAAACAAATCTAAAAGTATATTATATTTACGTGAACAAAAATATTCGTGAATCGTGTTAAAAGTATTTCCAATAAAACTTGGTTTTATAAAAACAAAAAACTGCCAGATAAAGCTGCATAGGCTCCGTAGGCTCTTACCTACAATTTAATTTAAGCAGAACTTCAATTTTTTAACAAACAAATTTGAAAATACCATTGTAAAAATCTCATTGTTTTCAAAACATAATCTGTAAATTTCCAAAATTCTTAAGTAATGTATTCTTGCTTTGAAAAAACATCATATTTCATGACGCCTTTAATATAAAAATGATCAAATTAATTCAACTGCTCAAAAAAGTATGAGAATAACAAATTAAAAGAGAAGATATATATCCCTTTCATTTTATATAAGATCCTTATAAGAGAATTCTATATTTAACACATTTCGTATTATTTTAGTCGCTTGTGCCTTAGGCCTGGATAATTAGAAAATAGGTGACCATGTTTTAATTTCTTTGGCAGTGATTTGTTTGAGCTTGGCAGATCACGGCTTCCCTTTTTATGGCTTAATTTTCGGAACCAACTTTGGAACGGGTATTTTTTCACACATGCCTAGTTAATATAGCAGATGGACGCTCAATTTTTATTCAGAATTAAAAACTTTTGTTACATTATTCTTAATTTGGGGGTAACTCAGAGGCATTTCATAATTCATTCTCCTATTTGTGGGAAACAGTTTCTTAACTTTATTGGTTTTAACTTGCTTGCAGGATCATCCGAAATACGCATTTAATTATGGAGTAGCGGATCACACAACTGGTGATGTAAAATCGCAGCATGAAACGCGTGACGGTGATGTTGTGAAGGGTAATCTTTGCAAATAATCAGAAAACAAAACATGCACATCACTCACATAATTCAAATTGTACTTTTGACAAAACAGGACAATATTCGCTGGTCGAACCCGATGGCTCTATACGCACTGTGGACTATACAGCTGATCCTATTCACGGTTTCAATGCGGTCGTGACCAAATCGGGGCCCACAGTGCACGCTCAAGCTCTGGTGGCTAAGCCGATTGTGGCCCACAAGCCCGTTGTAACGCACTATGAACCACAATTGTTAAATCATGTGGCCCCCGTTGCTGCACCCGTGGTTGTGGCATCTCCTGCGCCCTATGGTAAGACAATTGTTTCAGTTATGCTCTCGAATTTCTAGTTTTTAGTGTTCTTATAGAGTAGTTGTAGATGAGAAACCTTATCACCATATCAATCACTGCCTACGTCTGTCGCACGCACTGGGAGTTCCATGGCATTGTACCTCCAACTAGATAGATGCTTCCTCTAGTGGTGGATATACTCGTACACACAAACAAACAAACCTGAGCCCTGACACTGAATTCTGATTTCTTGCTCTTCTACTATTCTTGTTCTCGTTCTCGCGCCCTCCTCAGGCATTAATACGTATCGCATGCTCAAACTGTTCAGGCGTCATGCCAACTATTTTAACAATCAGTATCGCAAATTACGCCCAGACGATGAGGCCGATGATTTCGTTGATGCTGATTTCGTCAATGGTGTGGATGTAGTCAGACAGACGGAGGCAGATGATTACTACGCCTATTGAGCGTCAATCACCGTGAAAGTGTTCCTCACAACTTATACTTATACCGACTAGTACTTACATATTTAGCACGGCACGCCATTTTGGGACGAGGCGCTAAATGCATGCTAATGTCTTTTTTTTATATAAAATTTATTCCATTTTTCTATAATTGAATTGTATTTAGAATTTAGACAATAGATGTGCAAAATGGTTGGGACTGGCAGTAGTTTTCAATCAATTCTAATTAGCCTGAACGTTTCGAGGTTGCGCACTCAAGCGACAAAGCTGATTCATGCAAAGGGGCGGGCAACAATAACAGCAGCAACAACAAAAAAATAAACAAATGAAAATGTGTAACATTTCATAAGCTCATGCCACGGTTGACTAATACACCAGACACGCCCCCATTGCTCATAATTATGTCATGAAACAGTTTTCACTGTTGATCAAAAGATCTGATTTGTACGAGTATTGTTGCTGCTGTTGTTCCTTTCTATGTTTTTTTGATGCAGTTGACGCTCATATTTTGTAGCTACGTTGTTGTCTTTTCTCACATTAATTATATCATATGCAGCAGACGCAGCAGCAGCAAAAGCAATAACAACAACAATAGTTACTTGGTGCATCCAATGCTGATTCTGCAGCGATTGTTTGGCAACGCAACTTGGCACCGCCACAGCAGCCACACTTTGCGGAAAATTGTTTTTCACATTTCATCCGACAGACATATTTTGTTGTTGTTGTTGTTGTTGTTGTTGTTTTATGAAAATATGCAAAATTTCTCAATGTCGCAATGTTTTATTGCGCTTAAGCCGAAGCAACGAATTTACATGCGCTGGCTCGCAGAAACCTGGGAATGCTGAATTTGTTGCTGTGGTTGCATGTGAAATTAAACTTAATTGTAGAATTTTATAATTGAACAAGCCGCAGGCGCAAAACGCGCAAATCGCAGAAAAGGTAGTCAATGACAAGCAAACGAAACAAAAGACTTAGGTAACGAACTTGGCACTTGGTCACTTGCCCAAAACGTGCAAAGAAATGTAGAAATAAACAGCACCTGCAACATTTAACCAACGATCTAAAAAGTTTACTTCGGCTTGGCCGAAGCTATATACCCTTTACTAAATTAAAAAAAAAAAATTTAATTAATTGCAGGGCAATCCTCAAATATATGTAGCTATTTCTCTTCACAATGTTTTTGTTAACGCTATTAGCTTTTGAAAGGCATTTATAGTTTATGATTTATAATTGACAACTAATTCTAATTGCGTTTTCCTACACGTTTTTTTGAGTGACTAATAAAATACAATACATGCAATAAAAGATTAGCCTTACATTGACTAATTAAGACCCAATATCTTCATGAACAAGTAAACTATGATTTTTGGACGGGCCAGATAAGTGATTAAAACGTACAAACTGACATCGCTGCTTTCTGCTCTAAGCTTCCATAACAAACACAATACCGATGTACCCTTAACAATCTAGGGTATGAAGCCAATTATTGTTAGCCTTTCTTGCAAATTCGTGACAACAAATTACATACATTTTTCTTGTTTGGCCTGCGACTAAGCCAAAATAAAGCAAACAAAAGAAGTACAGCAACAAAATGAAAGGAAAATTGTTTTGTGGACATTGAAATTGTAATGCCAACTGCTGAAAACTACGTTTTGACCTAAACTACTTACCAAAAGCGCGAGGGATAACACAATATCAGATGTTGGGTTGACTTTTTGTCGGTCATCATTACAACTACAAGTTACAATAATAACCACTCCCCGAAAATAAGCTCAGAAAGTGCCTGAAGTTAAGCCCGTTAAGTTGTTATACTTATAAGTTGACCATCTGCGTACACTTTTTTTTCCAAAAATGTTCGTATACAGAAAACTTAATGTACATACTCATCAGATAGGCTTTTATTCATTTTGATGTTTTGGACTATTTTTATACTTTGTACATGAAGTGTACAATTATTTAAATTTACCGTTTAAATCGAAGAACTTGCACAAAAGAACACAAAATAAATTTTCAATGAATCTAAACCAATTCTATTTGGTTTTACACACCACATTAGTCAGATGATATATTCTGATTCATGATTGGTCAACTAAAGTAGACATTACTGATGATTTAAACTGATTTGTTGTTGGCTGTATTGTATTTCTTAATTTGCACGCATTTTTTCTTTAATTCTATTCAAGTGTCGAAGCAATATGTGGCACCTGCCGCGCCTATCCACTACGATTACGATGATTACTACAATCAGGGTCAGTACGAGTACGTGCCGCAGTACGATGCTGGGCAATATGGACACTATGGAAGTCCCTATGCGGGTCACTATTAATTGTACCATATAATTATTATAATCACCAAATTTAGCGATACACAAGCACACTCACACACACGAAAATGTTGCTGGTAGTCTGTAAGCGCTTTTAGTTTGTACATTTTCAAAACAACGAAATGCATTGGCAAGAAAATACTGTAGTTTAGGGAAAGCCCCATCAAGGAGCAACCCTTTTGCAGTAGTTGCAGAAACTCGAACTCGCTCTGAAATCTACAGCTCTAGTATGTCTTGCTGTCCACTATCCACTTGTGGAAAATTATATGGAATATACACATGTCATGTATTTAATTTATGAAACTAACGAATGCAATAAAGTTGATCAACATTTGTAAGTGGAAAATAATATTTTATTTCATTTATTAAAAATTGTAAAATAATAATTAACCATCTACCCTTTGCAAGGGTGCAAATATTGACGTTTTAAATAAAAGTTGAAATAAAATCTAAAAAACAATTCGTTTTGTATGTTTATTTTTCTTCTTTTTCTTGTACGAATTTGAAACGCAATCAGACGAATTACTTCAAGAAATATTTGTATTTAAAATATTAGATGAAGAAATCTTGGCACTAATATTTAAAATATTTATTTATTGAACATCCTAGTGCTATTTTGAAAGGAGTTTAATTTCTCTAAATTAAATTTGTATATTAGAGTCCACATTTGCGAATTCAATGAAAGTTCTACATGGAGAACTATATTGGTATCAATTGAGATGAATTGAGATATAAAATGAGTTAGTGTAAAATTTAAATTCAGTAATAAGTATACTCTGTGGATCAAAAATAGTTTTTGAACACGTGCGTCGGAAAAAAATGCAATACTTCCGAAATGAAAGTTGCGACATCCAAGCAAATGAATGTCTTGGGACAAATGCAACAAAAGTTTAGATTTGTCTTTGGATTTAAATATATTATTTAATGTTAAAGTGATTTTTTTCACAAGTCGTTGCTAGGTTATTAAAGGACTTAAACTTGAAACTTTGTATTCGAATTCTCACGCGTTCTAATGCCTTTGAAACCTGATCTAATCTTAAGCATATCAAGCAACAGTTAAATACAACATTTTCCCATAGTACAGTATTGCCAACAAGTGAAACCAATAAAGTCTATCAAGTCAATACTTTTTGCCAATAATTCAGCAATTTTATGTAGGCTTTAGTTAAGTATCCATGAAAGCTTTTGCTCAAAATGGTAACTGAAGCATCCGTAAATGTAAATGTGAAAAAAACTTCGCCACATGTTGGCGGCATTGTAATTCACACAGTGCCATTATTTAAATGCAGTAACGTTTGTTGTTTTTCCTATTGAACTAATGAATATATATCTATATGCATCTATGTATATAGTTATTGACAGTTGTGCAAATTCATGGCCAATTGAACGCACAAAAGTTTTGCATTTAATTTCAGCCAAAGTTTGCGGTTGGCTTCTGGTTTGGTTGTTTACTTATGCTGGTCGCAGATGCCAATAATGGTTGGACACTTCCGGTGGATGCTTTTCACAAGATCTATTTTGCATGGCTGCTGGCTGAGTGCCCATGCAAAAAGTTTTCACGGTCTGCAAAGCTGTAAATGTTTATGTAACTGACTTTTTTCTATTAGTGCTGGCCCATTTACAAAGACAGTTTAATTTGCAGATGAGAGTTTGCTTCCGCTTGGCATCATTTCTGCATTATTTGTTTTTAGCCACTAAATCATGGCCAAAGAAGGAAACCAGCTGCAAAAAACTGCTGTGCTAACGGTGTGCGATAATTTTTTGCAAAAGCTTGATTTCAATTTAAAGCTTGGCTTGAGGTATAAGACTCAACTAATAGTGAAGCAATACGAATTTGGAGGAAAAACGAAGCATACTTTGATGAGCTATATGCGGGTAAATGTGTTTGTAGTCTTTTAGGCTTTGTTTTAAAACCATGAGCCTTGTTGTATGACAAATTTCAAAAGGAGTTTTATTTCTCTAAATTAGGTTTGTAAATTGGGTCAAAAAATAAATAAATACAAAAAATAATAATTATAAAAGTTATTAATAAAAGTTTACTGAGGGTAAGTAAATGGGTTCTTAAAGAAAAAGGTTGATTGGCATTTCCTAAACATTTTTGGTTTTACATGATCAACTAATTATTTTATGAAGGGCTTTCTGAGGTTGTACATCTAGTCGTTTTGTGGGCTAAACTCAGCATTCGACTTTATTTATTTTAGTTCAGTTTAGTTTTAAGTCGATATAGAAAAAAGTACTATAAATGGAAAGTTGGGAGGCTAAGCTGAAATAATTATTTTACCCTTCACTTAATACATATACGAATATGTGTAATAATTTAATGAAAATCACAAGAAAAAATTTTGAGCTCATTTGAAAATTAGAGTGTGGAACCCTAAGATGTGTGTAATTAAGGTGTTGCGGTCAGGATGGTATTTATTAAACCTTTTCGCTACTTATGACTATAGTTAAGGCGAAGCTGCTCACTTAGCCTCTAACAACTTCTGGCCTGGTGGACTACAGAAGCCCTCCATTGAAAAAAAGTTAAAAATATTAGAACTATTCAGTTCACTTACTATAGATGCATAAATAAACTAAACATACTAAATGGGTTTATTAAACCATCTATGTACATCCATAATACCCTTATTTATGTACCAAATGAATTGCATTCATATAATTTCTTTTTACATATTCACCAGTTCCGTACATATTTGCAATAAATTGTACAATAACACCACAAGATTGCATCGCAGTTCGCTAGGTTTTTTATAACTTAATGCTAAACGGCTCATGCACAATGCTACAGTAACCTGACAGGAAAATAAATTGAATATTTGTACATCTTTGGATTTGATCTTAATAACAAGTCATTGGTGTAATACCAACCGGTATCCAACAACAAGTTCCAGCACGAGTGGATTACATGCTCACAATTTCCGTTGCACAAGTTATGCCAGCAACTTATGTCTTACTACCAAGACACATCTTCTTACTGCCACTTTGTAGCTCAAGGTTGCCGTCTCTCAGAACTGGCCTCAGTTAATTACCCGCATATCAATCTCAGTGCTTGTTTTGCATAAATCCAAGATTTTACTGCCAGCAAGCACGCGTATAAATAAGTATGTATGTATATTCAATGGGATTGAATTATGAGATGGATTTGCAAATCGCGCATACTTGAAGCCATATCTATTAGTTACTTTGTAAAATATTGTGCCAGTCGATGCAAACAGAGTTCAGGCTGCTGAGACCCGACAACTCTTGTATAATACTTATTGCCCATTGCGAAATTAAATTAAAATTGTTGAAATTTTGCTGGCAAAGTAAAAATTTCCAGAGCAAACTAAACTTTTGACACACATAGAAAAGCTGTAAAAGTCACTATTAAAACTCTTAACTGCCTGCAGACAAGTGGCCAGCCCGCCTTGCTGCATTTCCTCGAGATTTCGTGCAGCGACGATAACCACTCCAGCCGCTCCAGCACTGACCAGGCCAAGACGCGTCATGTGTGGCAATGCCGCAATTATACATGTGGCCAGTAGCTGGTTAGCCGCATAGGCGCCAGCATTCGGGCGAGAGCCGCGCAGGTTGGTCGCACTTGGACCGCATTGGACAATTTAATGCGACTGTCATGTTAAATGCCAAACCAATAATTTCAGCCTCATTTTCAGTAACTGTGTGTTGTCTACACTACATAATTTCAAGTACTCTCCTCTAATTAGCAACAGCATCTGTTCGCATCCTGTTTACTGTGAATCGGATTTGGTGTACAAGAATGCAGATAAAGATAAATACATTATAGTAGATCAACTAAATCTAGGACTATTTGAAACTTCGTCATCATATTTTGGTATAGAGAAAAAAGTCTGTATAAACTGTAAATGGGGCTACGGAATCTTAGGGTATTTAAGCAGAGCTTTTGAAACTTTTCAAATTACAATTCATGTTAAGCGTTTAAAACTTCATTTCTAAATCGTTGCAATGAGAGCTTACAATTCAAAATGTTAGATTGGACTACGGAATTAAAGGGTATTTATGTTGAGATTTTAAAAAGTTTCAAAATGACAAACACTCTTATAATGAAGTAATAGTTTTGATGTCCCAAAGAAAGTAGCAAAGATACATAAATCATAGTGTAATCAATAATGGAGCAGTAACAGTCTTTGAACATCGAGTTAAAATGGTAGGCCTTGAGATGTGAACAATAAAAACGAAAATAACAAATAACAATTTCGATCGTTGTCATTATACATAAAATTCTAATTATTATTAAACAGTTTGTTATATCGCTGTCAAAATTAAATACGCTGTCTTTTTATTCCGTCAAGCTTGACTATTAAATACTGATATTTCAATGATTCCAATTACATCAATGAAGTCACTAACAAATTGCTATTGATCTGTTTAAGTAACGCTCAAAAAAACTATATCAACAACAACTATTTTAAGACAATCTAATCGGAACTTCAATTTATTCATGTATTAAATTAACGTTTTCGTTTTACCCACAAAACATTACATTTTAAGCATTAACACTATCCACTAATGTGCGTACTCACTGACAATGGACTTAAACCATTAAGTGTTGTTAACAAAACTATTTATTATTTCAGTTGCTCCCTTCCTCTCTTCTCTTTCTTCTTCTTCTTCTTTAAGCTCTTTTGTGGTTTGCGATCGCATAAATTTTTAGTTATACAAATAATTGCACTTTTCAAAATGAAGGCATCATAATGGTTGGCTCGAAATTCAAATAAAATAATAATGATGTTGAAGTCGCACGATGTTGAAATGGATAATAACAAAATAATGTGCCTAAATGATTTTTAAACACATTGCGTAAACAACAAGCTGAGGGAGCATCAATCTTTATAAAAAGACGCTTCTTTTTGTAATATTTTTGCATTCTCTATTTGCCAAATTTAGCATTCGTTACAAACACCTTTCTGATTCTTAGATACTAGCAGACAGACGAACAAACATACAACACGACCCCTTCAAAGTGATTGTGATTGTGTGTGAATGATGGCAATGCGCACGTTTTCAAAATTGCAAAATCAATGTAAATATATGTACATACATACATGTATGTATGTGTGTGTGTGTGTGTGTCATTGACTCATGACAAAAGCAACAACAACTGCTAAGCCTAAGCATATACATACATACATACATACATACGTATGATGCGTCACTTTTACTATCAGCATTGAAAAATCTACGACACCGACACTCGACTTAGGCACCAAAATTAAAGCGAACATCGCTTGCCGATTTTTACAGCTGACGACGGGTTATTACTGCCCCCGTTCCCCCCCTTTGTGTTGCAGTGATGAATTTTGCAACATTTTTTGCTTG